AAAAAAAAAAAAAAAAAAAAAAATAAATAAAAACTAAAACTATTTATTTTTATTACATATGAATGTAATCATTTTCTTTTCTTATTTTTGTGGGCTATAAATATATTTTCTTGAACAATCAGATGTATTAAATTTGTATTGTTTGTATTTTTTGTATTTATTTTCCAGTTTGTAACGGTTTCATTCGCAACATTCTTACTCCACGTTTTGGCAGTGAACCTGAGCTAACTTCTTTGTTTTCTTGTTCAATTTACTTTACACAAACATTTCCTTTAAATATCTTGTACACAACTTTATTCAAATCATCTTTAAGGTAGCTACAATATTTAAGCACATGATGAGAGTATATGTAGTATGATGTTTGATTGATCCATTTAAATAAATATATTTAAGCACACATTAGCAAAGAAAATTATATGTATTTGCAACAACCAGAGTGTTTTTCTATTTTTTATTTTGTTTTTGTTTTGAAATATTTTATTGAAGTTCTGCTTCACTGTAAATAGTTTTAACTACACACGCTTTCAGAAAAAAACCTATTTTGCATTATAACTAAATAATTTTATATTTTATTTCAGGCCATTTATTATAAATATATATTTTTGCTTTCATTTTTAGTTTCTTTTTTGTTTTTATGAAATATCATCACAAAATTGATGAATTTATGATTCAAATTTTCTTATGGCTAACGATGCATTTTATCGGTGTTTGTTTTTTAAATTAAGTCTAAACTTTGAAATTAGCATTGAAAATACAGTTACGAAAAGGAAAACTAAAGATAGAATTGGGCAACATCTTGGAAAATTATAATTAAATTGCATAAGTTTTATTCTTTGTTCTTGGATCTTAAAGCGGCTAAACTTAAAATTAAATTGTATTTCGCTTGCATTTCATATGTTAGTATATATATGTATGTAATTCAATGATTTCTTTAATTATTTATTATTATTTGTATTATTTATTATTATTTTCTTTATAGAAGAAACAGCGCAGTTTACAGCGTTTTTGCGCGATCCAGCAGATCGCTGATGAACTTCGATATGTCCGATTGCGGGCGTTTGCACACTGCGAGTAATCTCTGCAGAAAGAGAGAGAGAGAGAGAGGATTATATATTAAAGAAAACAATTTATTTAAATGAGAGATTAAAGATCAACCAAGAGTCGAGTCATAATACTCACAATAAGATGAGATCTTCTTATGTCGTCTGTGTCCATGTCTAAGATTTCATCAATATCCACATCGATCGCCTCGTTCTGCACAAGAAGACAATAAATAAGAGATCTGTCTGAGTCTGAGTCATAGCGCGCTGTCACTTACCGGTGGATCAAAGAGCTTCTGCAGCTCATCGTATAGCCACATTTCGACGGCCAGACGCTTCCTGATCAGGCTCATCTGATGTGAGCCATATTTGGCTGTGAGAAACTTTTCGCGGCGCTCCTTGACCTCGGAGCCCTTCTCGTTGAAGTTGACGCGCAGATTTGTTCGGTTCGGCGAGCGCTCGCAGTCGTTCATCTGTTCCAGTCCGCACTGCATTTTCCAAAGAGCTAAATGCAATCGCTTCCTCTTTGTGTTATTATTAATTAACAGTGCAGCGTTTATTGAACCTGCAACTGCGACCACGATTAATTGGCGTAGCTGTAATTGAATGCAAACAGAAATTGGCCATTGAAATGCAATCCGCATAAATACGCTGCACACATACACATACAATTATATTTTAAATAGTATTTTCAATTGAATTAAACTTAATATTATGCAAGTGATGCTGCGAGCTGCTTTCCTCATGCGTCATGGCCGCGCGAACTGCTCGAACTGTTGGGCTTTGCATTCGCATTCATTCCCATTGCCCCCCAAACCCAAAACCAACTCCGAATTCCAGTTATTAATGCCCGCTTTGGCCCAAAGGCATTTGCAAATGCCCACACCTATGACTCACCAAAGAGTCTTCCCATCGGGAGTGAGAGTCGCTGGCCATAAAGTCTGCCTCTGATTCATCCCATGCTTTGTGTTTACTGTTGCTATATTGCCAGAGCTCTGTTATGCTTTATCTATGGCCAAGACTTGACATGCGAACAGCAAACAGGAATAATTACCTCCACCCCACACACCACTGTCCACGTCTCACTCACAGTTAATTTAATTAATGTGTAATGCATGTAATGAATGCTCCTCTGATTCGGCTCTGTCCCTCATGACATTTGACTTGATGTTTGGACTTTTGTGCTCCGATGGGAGGACAAGACACACTCGTGTCCCACTTTGACAGCTTATCACAAAAACTTGGCTCTAATAAATCATACATTTATTTTGTGTTTATAAATAGATAAATATACATGTAAGTAAAATATTATGTATATTGAGGATAATATATGACGAACTTGCGATTTCATTTTATTGTTGTGAAATGTTGGCCCGAGAGCAAACCTTAATTTGTTTCTTTACGTTTTGTTAACTATTCAAAAATGCTGATAGGTAAAAATAATAAAAATATATTTTAAATATGTATAAATGTAGAAAATATATATGCAGATTTTCATTTTTTTTTTAAGAAATATGCTCAAATGAATTGTTTTCCATCTTTATAATAATACTCAGGAATTAATAATGCTTGCAAATTGATTTTTGTAAATAATTTTCAATGATTTTAAGTGTTTAGTTTATATGCTAGTAGTTCCAGCTAAATGTGTAAACTAACAGAATTCCAGAAGAAATTGAATTTTTGTAGTCGTACTTTATTTATTTTTCCGAGCAAGTACGTGAGAAATATACATATATATGTATTTCACCAATATTATTTTAAGCTGTGAAAACGAATACCAAACACAAAATGTTTACAAAACAAATTGAAATTATTCAGAATTCAATTTCGATTGATTATAAAAATGTGTATATTCTATAATTGATAAGCAAAAAAAAGTTGGGGATGATATTTATTATACTCTAAATCCACTGAAAATGAGAAATCAGGGTATAATGGTTTTCTTTTATTTATAAACAAAAGTATATAATGTATATATATCTATAAAAG